GAGCGCAGGTGGGTGTGAGCCGGCCATCGGCTCTGTCCATAACACCGAACTCCTGCATCGCCGCCACGGAACCAGGCTGAATCAGAAAGTGTTCCCAGCAGAGCAGGAACTCACATCAGCTCCCTCGGTGTAGACAACAGGAAAAGCTTCCCTGCACCCAAAGGTCTGTGAACCCAGCACAACAGACTTTGCCTTCTAGACCCATCAAGTCCCCAAACCAACTTCTCACAGCCTGTCTAAACCCCACCTCTGTGATCTGCAGTGGACTGAAGGAGGCACAGCATACGAGCCGGCTGGGTCCCACCCGGCAAAGCTGCATGAATGCCCTGCTCCCTGGCTCCCCTGGCTCCTTCCCACCACAGCCCTCCTCCGCCCTTTCCTCACTCAGCCACTGTTCCTGACTTCGGGCCTGTGTATCCAACAAGGAGGCAACGGAAGAGGCTGATTCTTGGCATTTGCCTTGGTGGCCTGGCTGCTGGAGGTTTAGGGAATTTTTCAAGGGCAATTTTGGCCCAGGGTGTTTTTTCTCTCCCACTCTGGCTTTAAGATCTCAGCTCTAGGCCAGGAATGGTGGCTCACACCAGTAATCCCAGAAGTTTGGGAGGCTGAGGCAGGCAGATCACTTGAGCCCAGGAGTTCAAGATCAGCCTGGTCAACAGGGCAAAAACCTGTCTCTACAAAAATACAAACATTAGCTGGGTGTGGTGGCACACGCCTGTAGTCCCAGCTACTTGGGAGGCTGAGGCAGGGAAATCACTTGAACCCGGGAGGTGGAGGTTGCAGTGAGCCAAGACTGCGCCACTGCACTCCAGCCTGAGCAACAGAGCGAGACTCTGTCTCAAAAAAGAGGAGCTCAGCTCCAATTGGGACACAGTTTCCAGTGTGGCCAGGTAAGATGCCAAGATGCCATGATGCGTGTAAGTTTTTGAGGATACTTTCCCTCCATATGAACCAGTCTGGCTGTGTAAAGGCTTTAAAATAAACTGACCATCAATTTTCTCTAACCATGTGGCTTTAATCCCACTTCTTTCTCACCTTTAAGGATCAAGGCATCCAAGATGATTCAACCAAACTGCCCATCCTCTAGCCAACTACCGACATCACTGTCTGACTTTAACTCTTCATCCCCTGCCACATGCAGGCTCTTCCCCACACAAACGCCTAAAATGCAGAGTGCTCGCAGAACAAGAAGCTGACTGCTTCTGATATACTTTCTATATAAATTAAAACATAAAACATATCACTGAAAGTAAAACTATAATCTAAAACTTTTCAAACATTCCACTTTAATCATCTACATTTTGTACAATTTAATAACATGGAATCATCCTCCTTACGACGTGGGATTATAAAAATCAACAAGTGGATGATGCTTCAGATAATACATTTAAATACATAAATCAAACTTTTTCAGTGCTTAAAACTTTTTCTGCATGGGACAGCAGGCTCTGAACAAAAGTGCCTGGTGTTTAAGTCTCCCCAGCTTCCTTCAATCATACCAGCTATGCATAAAAAGGTTAATCACCTCTGTCCCCAAAGTGTCTCCCTACTGAGTCTTCCCAGGCAGGCAGCAGCTCCTGGGATAGTGCTATTTGGGAACAGAAAAGCCCAAGTGTAGAGGATAGATTAAAAGGCAGGGACCAGACCACGCTGGATACAAATCGCAAGGCAGAGGATGCCCCAAGCCCTTCCCAGGAAGCTTCTCTGTCTGCCTGTGTCTCCATGACTGCAGCAATAGCGACTTGGGACCTCTAGGATGATTTATTTAGTGATGTGCTTCTACATTATGAGAATTTAAATGGTCCTGTAATTTCCAATAGAGAAAACAGAGCCAACTCACTGTTCACCCTGCTGCTCTCTGAAGCCAGTTTTTAAACATGAGTCTTACCCAGAAAATAAGCCCCAAAGAACTCTCATCTAAATGCTCAGACCCTTCCTAAATTACCTTCAGCAACCTAGATCATTCTTTTTTTATTACACACCTCCAACCTGACCCTTGCTACAGTTTCAACTATAAATGTTCATGCCCCTCCTCAAATAAAGTTGCCAGGATGAATTGGTAAGGTTTGAGTGCAGGCAGAACAAGCAAGAAAGAACCGTCAGTGTCTCCGTCCAGGAGCGCGGTCAGGACGTCAGTCCTCATCACTGGCCCCTTCTCTCCCTGTGTCCGTCCAGGAGCGCGGTCAGGACGTCAGTCCTCATCACTGGCCCCCTCTCTCCCTCTCTGTCCGTCCAGGAGCGCAGTCAGGACGTCAGTCCTCATCACTGGCCCCTTCTCTCCCTGTGTCCGTCCAGGAGCGCGGTCAGGACATCAGTCCTCATCACTGGCCCCTTCTCTCCCTATGTCCATCCAGGAGCACGGTCAGGACGTCAGTCCTCATCACTGGCCCCTTCTCTCCCTCTGTCCGTCCAGGAGCGTGGTCAGGACGTCAGTCCTCATCACTGGCCCCTTCTCTCCCTATGTCCATCCAGGAGCACGGTCAGGACGTCAGTCCTCATCACTGGCCCCTTCTCTCCCTCTGTCCGTCCAGGAGCGCGGTCAGGACGTCAGTCCTCATCACTGGCCCCTTCTCTCCCTCTGTCCGTCCAGGAGCGCGGTCAGGACGTCAGTCCTCATCACTGGCCCCTTCTCTCCCTCTCTGTCCGTCCAGGAGCGCGGTCAGGACGTCAGTCCTCATCACTGGCCCCTTCTCTCCCTCTGTCCGTCCAGGAGCGCGGTCAGGACGTCAGTCCTCATCACTGGCCCCTTCTCTCCCTGTGTCCATCCAGGAGCGCGGTCAGGACGTCAGTCCTCATCACTGGCCCCTTCTCTCCCTCTCTGTCCGTCCAGGAGCGCGGTCAGGACGTCAGTCCTCATCACTGGCCCCTTCTCTCCCTCTGTCCGTCCAGGAGCGCGGTCAGGATATCAGTCCTCATCACTGGCCCCTTCTCTCCCTCTCTGTCCGTCCAGGAGCGCGGTCAGGACGTCAGTCCTCATCACTGGCCCCTTCTCTCCCTGTGTCCATCCAGGAGCGCGGTCAGGACGTCAGTCCTCATCACTGGCCCCTTCTCTCCCTGTGTCCATCCAGGAGCGCGGTCAGGACGTCAGTCCTCATCACTGGCCCCTTCTCTCCCTCTTTGTCCATCCAGGAGCGCGGTCAGGACGTCAGTCCTCATCACTGGCCCCTTCTCTCCCTCTCTGTCCATCCAGGAGCGCGGTCAGGACGTCAGTCCTCATCACTGGCCCCTTCTCTCCCTCTCTGTCCATCCAGGAGCGTGGTTTCTCTCCGTGTCCTCCAGGAGAAGTTCTTTGTTGACTTGATAAGCTTCAGTCCTTCTGTACAACCTCTTGAAGATGTGCCTAATGGTGCTTCTTTCCACTTCCAGAATTCACCTTTTATTCTACCTGAAAAGCTGCCAGGGAGCATCCCAATCGACATGACGCCTGCCCCTTCAGCCACAGAAATCTGCCAGGCATCATGCTCTGTGGCGCTGCCTGCCTTCCTGACGGGCACTGGTGCAGATGACAAAGCTTGGACAGTCCCGCAGCTGGTTTGCCTTTTTCAAGGTGTAGATACGAAATAAAGAACATTTCATTCCCTCACAAGCTTAATCTAGTAACTTAATAGCTTAAATAAATCAAGCCATTAATAAACCTATGTACTGAACAAATCACACGACTGGATGACTTCTCTAAAGTTAATGTCAAGGACAAAAGGGAGAGTTGATCCCACGTAAAATCCCTTGACCACAGCTGCCTGAAATTAGCCAGGGGAATGGGAGATACCGCCAGGAATCCCAGCTCCTTCCTGCCGTGTTTCATGGGGAGAGCTGCAGCGTTCACGGAGGAAAACCACGAATCATGAAGACGAATGTCCTCGTTTCAGACCTGGTGACTCGGGAATGACATGAGGATGACAACACAGGGTTAACTCATTTCTTCTCAGTCTCTCCCTGACTCCACAAAAGCTTTGTCTTCCCAGCACAAGGGGCTGGGAGGCCCAGTCCAGGCACAGCGTGCTGTTGGGGAGAACAGTAACCGTGTGATCCCACGATTACAGGGCTCGGAGCACGAAGCTCTTCATCCTAGTGGCGATTGGGATGTGGGTAGTTCTGTAAACTCACGGTCACAGCTTCAGTGTTTGGACGCAGTGGGTGGAGTCAGCCAGAGCTCCCTCCCAGCTTCATCTGGGGCCCTCTCTCCGGAAAAGCTTAGTGACGTTCTCCGAAGTTTTACTTGGTTAAGGAGTGTTGCTGACACACTTTTTAAAAGCCCACTTTGAACACATGCGTAAGCTGGAAAGAAAACGATGTATCTACCTACACTGAGGCTGGGAAAGTGACGAGGCTGGCGAAGATCTGAAACCCTGAACCTTTCTGGGTTCTTTCCATTTTAATACAGCGTACTGGCGACAGATGGGCTCACCTGCCTTCGGAATGACCCAGCACCCAACTGCCCTGAAACTGCTCAGCTCCGCTTGGAAATCACCAGGGAACTTGGGAATCTTCCCCTTCGACTCAGGGAGACACCCGGACCAGGACGAAGGGCACTGATGTTCTCAGCCGCCCAATAGCACATTTTTTTTTTTTTTTTTTAGCAGCCTTTCCTAGTCCCTCTTTAAGATCCCTGCTGGGCCATGCACCTCCCAGGGCTGGGGAGGGACACCCATTGTTACAAATAGGAGGCATCAGACTCTGTATTAAAAACAGAACCGCACAACGAGAATGCTTTAATCATCACCCACACAGACGAGCAGAAGCTACAGACAGAGCGCCACTGCGGATGGTGCCTGGGACAGAGGTGAGAATGGCCCAAAACTCTGCCTCTGGGAAAGGTGCCAAGTTTACAGGACTTATCATGGTGCCCTCACCAGACCCCTCCTCCTCCTCCTCCTCCTCCTCCTCCTCCTCCTCCTCCTCCGTGGCCGCTGGCGGCTCCTGCATGTCCTCTGGGGAAGCCTGAGGCCGGCTCGGGTAACTTCTGCTGCCTGAGACAGTCACATGTGCTCGGGACCTCTCACCTGAGGTCTCTGGGTTCTGAACTGGCGTGGAGGTAGCTAGGCGCGGGAGAGAAATGTGGTCACCTGTGTCATCTTCTTCAAAGTCGTTAAGGCAGTACACTTCGTCCAGGTCGACATCCAGCGTCCGGAAGCCCTTGGTGACCACACCGGGCCGGGGGTCCAGGATGCCCCCAAGGTGAGGTTGGGCCAACTGCTGCCAGTGGTGCAGGGTGGCAGAACCTGCAGGAGACCGGGAGGGGAAGAGGGAACAAGGAAAAAGGTTTAGGATGGAAGTCCAGGACAGCGCTGCTTACCACCCTCAAAGTGCTCAGCGCGAACCCCAGAGGGCCTGGGCCTCCAGGTGGACTGCAGCAGGAACTTGGGGAGCTGCCCTAACCCTAACCTTACCACGCCCAGAAGGGGTGCCAAGTTAAGAAATCAACAATTCTTTTTAAGTAAAATCCACACCATAGTATGTGCAAAGGAAGTCTCAGGACAAGGCTTTTATTTTAATCAACCGATGTCAACCCCAAAATTCAACACCTTCTCATTTTACAAAATGGAAGGGGGACACAGGGCAAGGTAAGCATCAAATGGGGGGGGGGGCACAGGTACTGATTCTATGCCAGATACACACTGCTGGGAACAGGGAAGACATGAGCTCAGGCAGAATGAGATCACATCAAACCAGGCCCAGGACCCACAGCAAGAGAAAAGCAAAAGGAAATGCAAGCAGCTCACAGAGATCAGCGGCAGATACGACCATCACCCCCGTGACTGAGGTTTTCTACATTCTGCCAGCAACTTTGAGAGGCTGCTGGGTTAGGGAGATGGAACCAGGTCAGAGAGGTGTGATTTAAGAACACAGTCGGTCCACATAGAGGTCTAACGCAGGGGAGCCCGTCTTCTCCATGACACCAAACCCCAGGACTCAGATGACATCATGCAAAATCTGTAATGACACCGGGGTGTGTCCCTGAAGACCTCAAGGTGTCGCAGGTGCTCTACAAAGAGAAGTGTCCCTAAGCCAAGCGTGCTCAGGAAACTTAGTGAAGAAGTGTTTTTGCTGAGGCCATCACAGACCTCGTCATACGCGACAGTGTCCTCGCCTGACTTATTTCACAGAGGAACACTTTCACCCTTGGAACACTTACTAACACTGCATGTGACACCACGCTAGTGCACGGCCCGTGAGGGTGAGGCTGGCAGCACTAGCCCCATTCTACAGATGGAGAAGGCACCCAGATGCGCATGGCCACGCAAATAAACATTCCGTGCTCAAAGGAGAGACTTCTGAAGAGGTTCTCGGGCACCGGGAGGTGGGAGCCTTCCTGCAAAAACGGACACTCGGGCAGTCACCACTGGTTTACCAAGGCTGTGCTTGCTGGGTAGGAAAGAAGCCCTTTAGGGTACAGGCTTCGCCGGGGCTTGCAGACACGGGAGTCGAGGCTGCCAGGAGCCAGCAGCTCAGGAAGTCAAGACAGAAGAGAGGGGAACGTGGGCAGACCCAGGCGGGGGGCGGCGGGTGACGTGGTGTGGGCGTGGGGTCTGCCATTTCCAAATACCCCTCGGAAATAACTTCTCATGGGACAATCTCAGCCGGAGAGGCTGGAAAGGGATTTATACACGAGCAATTTCAAATCCACCTAGAAGGAGAAAGAAGGCGCACACTGCCAATACATGTTCAAGAATTCCTAGACACGCATTTCAAGGTCTATCGCAGTTTTAAGAGTTCATGGGTATAAGGGCAACATACTTAATCTGAATATATTAAATACAAATAGAAAATACACTCAATTAAAAAAAGATTTAGGAAAGAAAGATTATAAGGAAAGAGGGTGTCACGTATCTGTTCTCTCACTAGGTGCTAACACGCATCTAGAGCAATGGTTCTCAACTAGGGACGATTCTGTGCCCGTCCCCCCGCCCTGGAGACACGTTTGGTTGTCTCAGCTGTGGAGGAATGGCGTCTAGTGCCAATGGCATCTGGCACTCACGGCATCTCGTGGGTAAAAGCCAGAGACGCTGCCACCTATCCCAAAATGCACAGGGCGACCTCACAGCAAAGAATGAACTGGCCCCGAATGTCAGCAGGGCTGGCGATGAGACCTTGCTCTAGAGCTGGGCTCCGTAACTCTCAGCTGTCTTGAGAATCTGAGGAAGCATGCATGCTAGCAACACCAAGCAAACGAGCTCGGGGCTTCGCAGACCTGCGGGGACCAGGTCACGGGCTACCAAGTCCCACCTGCCACAGCCTCCCTGTGAGTTTTTAAATCAAGCTTCCCTGCACCGAGGCAGGCCTGCACGACACCTTGTTTTACATCTATTACAACAACTCACTCCTCGAAACCACCCTAGGAACTCAGTGCTATAATTACACACTTTACAGATAGGGGAATGGTGGCTGCCTAAAGTTAGATGATAACCTTCCAAAGCCACTGAATGAGTGGTGGCATAGCCGGGGTTCAGAAGTAAAGACCAGGTTTTCACGCTGCCCACCCATCACAACCCACAGGCCTGAGGACAGGATGGGCACCAGTGTCCCTGCTGCACACGTGGTCAGCGCAGAATTTCCAGGTGGGCCTGCCAGGAGACAGTCCTGCTGAGAGGCGCTCTCTGCTGTCCCTGGGGACTCCGGTTCACCCTGCCCAGCAGGCCCCAGTACATGCCCGCCGGCTGTGCAAGTGCATCCCTGATGGCAAAACAGCACCTCGAGAAGTCTTAAAAAGCCACCGGACTATCGAGTTCAGCTTGGGACTGGACACACGGGAGTCTGAGAAGGATGACGAGAAAGCTCCGGTACAACATGGCCCCGTCACCTCTACTTTTGGAAGGGAAAAAGCGGGTACGCCAACAGACTCTGGAAGGTGAAGAAGATGGTAAGGAGATGCCGAAGCCCCTCGTCCTTCTGAAGGGAGGACGTTTACGATTCACTGGGACAGAACCCAGGGAGGCTGGAGGTCACAGTCCAGGCCTTTCTCCTCCAACTGTTTAACACGCTGCCCCTTTCCCCCCTCCCCCTGCCTGCTCCCAAGGATGGGCTGGAGAGAGAAGTGAGGCTGTGAAGGGTCTGCTGTTTGGAGTTGAGGAGGCCGCAGAAATGCGTGGAATTACTTGCATTCTCTGACACTCCACAGCCAAGGAAACTTAGTGAAATGACAACTAAAACATGACGTGAAAAGACGCATCATCCTCAGACTTCTATCCCATGCCCTGGGCACCCTTTACTCACGTAAGAACAGCCCAGTGTCACTGGGCATTGCCAAGTGCCAGGCACTTTTCTGAGGTCTACATTTATAACTCACTTCATCTTCACGTTATCCCTGCTGTCTGCAGTTTGCAGACGAGGAAACTTGAGTACAGGAAGGAAAGTCCCTTGCTGGAGGCTGCATTGCTAGCAAGTGGCTGACTGATCTGGGACTGACACCAAGGCTGGCTTAACCCTCAGCAGTGAGAGGCCCCACACATGAGAATCTCCGAAACCTGGTCAGTAACACACCTGAGTGTCTCTGCAGACACCCATGCAGGTGTCTTCTCAAAGCTGGTGTGCTGTTTTCGTTCTGTCATGCTGCGGGACTCGTGGACTCTCTCCACTCCTGGCTCATTCCCAGGCCCCAGGGGGTTTGCCAAGCCCGTCACCTCCCTGCTGCTGCCTAAGCCATGTAGGAATTCTACCAGTCTCCTGGCTGCCCGGAGTCCTTCCTTTAATACAAGAAGGAATGTGAATTAAAAAATAAATAGGAATTGCATCTTCTTCAGAGCCAACATTGCCTCCTTCCCATCCATTTCTCCAGCTTCTTCCCCAGCCTGGCTTCCTTTACTTGCCAGACACTGTAAAATGAACTATCTCCCATTACCAACCCAGAACCTGCTCACTCCCCCCACACACGAAAACCAGGCACACAGGACAGGGGAGGAGAGAGAGCTTCGTTTCCTGGTGGGCCACAAGGTAAAGTTCTACGGGAAGAGCGCATGGACAGCAGGGAAAACAGAACGAGGGTCACTGCCTCTTTCCCCCTCTGCTTTCCTTCCACACCCCGGTGTTCCAGCTAGAACATTTTCAAATCCTCAAAAGAGAAGAAACTCCAAAATCTACTAACGTCAGAGGAGCGTCGGGGCTCAGGCACTATAACGAAGCCTGGAGAAGGTACAGCTCCCCAGTGTAGCCTTTCCCTGAATTGCATATGATCTATCTGGACACGCTGCCTTGGTTATGATTAATCAGAAAGGAAGAGCAAATTACAGGAAGAAAACACCGCCCGCCTCGGTCTTTTTACCACAGATCTCCTCCTAGTCTGACTGTTGTGTTTGCTCTTCACCTGCTTGAAACTGGTCAGGCAAGATGGAGAGGCAGGCGTGTGCTAGCACTCTGAAACACCCGGCTGTTTTGGCTGCCATGGTAAGCAGAGGGCAAGACGAAATAAACAGGTAAGGGAGCCAGACAGAAGACTCTGACTGGCTACCCGCTCTGATCGCAGCCAGCAGTCTCCAGGGACCTCACCTCAGGTAAATTTACCTGGGCTGCTGGTGACAGACGGAGATAATTTAAGACTATGACACTAAAGCTGGTCCAGATCTCAACACTAGTGACTCAGCCCTACAGACCTGGATGGGAGCAAGTTTGGAAAGCCAGAATTTTAATAAGCACCTACTAGATGCCAGGCACGATATAAAACACTTCACATTTACTCCTACCACAATCCGGTTTGGTAGCCATCAGCCTATTTCACAACCACAGCTAAAGAAGACAAGGCTCAGAAAGTGGCGTAATTTACCCAGTGTCACAGTGAGAGCCATACTGAACCCGGCCCAGGCTGACTTCCGCATCAGCACTCTGTCTTATCTTACTAAACATGGCAACAAAAAAATAACTGTGGAGGAGAGGGGAAGAAGAAACTATTGGTTGTATTTTAAACAGCGAAGAAGTCTGTGCTGACTCACACCTGTAATCCCAACACTTTGGGAGGCTGAGGTGGGAGGATCACTTGAGGCCAGGAGCTCAAGACCAGCCTGGGCAACACAGTAAGACTCTGTCTCTACAAATAAACACCCTCAGGCGTGGTGATGCACTCCTGTAGTCCCAGCTACTTAGAAAGCTGAGGCAGGAGGATTGCTTGAGCCCAGGAATTCCAGGTTGCAGTGAGCTATGATCACACCACTGCACTGAAGCCCGGGTGACAGAGCGAGACCCTGTCTCAAAAAGTAAATAAACAGATAAATGGCTAAGAAGTCACAGGACTCCAAACGGGGCCAGAAGGATCTATAGCATGAGGTTGTGTTACAGGCCACTATGATAAGGCATAATTTTTTAATGGTATTGATTTAGCCTCCTGCATTTTGCTAATAAAACAGGATTTCCTATTGCCCTATTAGCTAATCACAAAAATACTACCAAGTCACAAAATTAAAAGAAATAAAGCCGAACTGTGTGCTTTGAAAATGAATCCAAAAACATATTCTTAGATGATCTAATGAAACACAGTCAAACGTAGAAAGCAGACAAGACAGAGATGATAAGTTCCAATGACCTCTGAGTGACAAAGGAGAAAAATGAAAAGTAAGGCAGAAAGTAAAATTGCAGAAATGAAAGATTTTATTGAAAGAAGAACAGACACAATGTGAATCAGAAAACAATCGCCAAGCTTACAACTAAATAAACAATTAGAAAGTAAGCCGCACCTCTTCTGAACTCTGAGAAGGACCCCAATTACACAATTTTAAAGTAATAATAAAAACAAACCAGCCCGCCCTCTTCCTCTGGGGACTAAGGAACCCAGTCAGGTCTTGGTTCTCCAAGAAGCCCAAGCGTACCTTACAGCACACGCCTCTCACAGGAGCAGCGCTGCTCCGCGGGGCAGAGACAGGCTCTTCTGAGGTGAAGGTGGTTAGATTCTTTCTCGTTTTCACACCACAGAAACACTATCGATGTATGCCGCATGTAGATATACATGTAGTACGTAAACAATATATCCGTGGTATTAAAACGTCATGGGGGGTGATTAGCAAAAAATGTCCAAGGAGGCTCCTTAGCGGGGACAATAATTTTTAAAAAGCTGGAAACGCTACCTTACAGAAGTTCTAATTTGGCTTGGTATCGTGTTAATACAGAGTTTTAAAACACCTTCTCAAACTTATATGGCTTTTCAAACTAAAGGGGTTAAAAAATGAAAACCAGAAACACTTGCTGGCTCTTGGCAGCGTGGTATCAGGTAGAGGGAAAACATTTTGTAAGTGCCTGAACTTAAAAAAAAGAGAGAAAAAAAAAAAAAAAAAGGAGGGAGGAAAAGAGGGAGGGAAAGAGGGAGGGAGGGAGGGTGGGGGGAAGAAGCTTTTCCGAGTTTCATTGTCTTGAAGTGCCCCTGATAGCAAAGGGTGGCTTAAGGAGGTGGAAACTCACTTGTCCCCACAGCCACCCCCTCCTGGGCTCCAAACTGTAGATTCTAGGAGCCGAGCTCAGAACATCCTGCATCTGCCGAAAGCCACAAGCTTGTTCTATGAAGATCAAGTCCGAACACATTAGCCCACAAATCACATTTGGGTGGTTATGGGGGAAAAATCTCCATTTAATAGAGTGTGCCTGGCACCTCTCCCTGACACCAAAACTTTGGAGACGCTAAAGCATTAATTCTCTGCATTCCTCACACCCATGGGCCAAACCTGATGAATTTCTGAATCTGTCAGCAGTGCAGCTATGGCTACAAAAGCTTTTTATCTCTAAGGTTCTAGAAGCAAAGGGAAGAACTAGAGGACCACAGTGCATGGGCCTGTCTTGCCTTGGCAGGCCTGGTGGCCTGTGTGTGCACTGTCACACTTGCCAGCCAGAGCGGGGGCACCAGGTCTAGGCTGAGCGCCACCCTAGAGGAACTCAAACCAGCAGCGTGGGTGGCTGTCGCGGAAGAAGAAGGAGTAGGCGTGACAGAGGTGCCCCGCCTTGCGCAGGTGGATCAGGGACCACAGGGAGTCGCCCAGGAGGACGGAGAGGGGCCGAGGCCCCGTGCGATCACCTTCCAGCGGCTTCACGATCTGCAGCTTCTCGGGCAGGTAGGAGCGGCTGCTGAAGGACATGCCGGAGAAGCCGGTGAACTCGGAGAAGCGGGAGTGGGTGCCCAGGGACATGATGCTCTCGGTGGGCGTCAGGGAGCCGCTGCGGGGCTCGCCCTTCTCCGCCAGCTCCTGGAGCTTCCTCTCTTGCTCCTCCTCGAAGAACCTCCTCTCCGAGAGGTAGTTCTCTCGGCGCAGGGACAGCCGTCTCAGCGCCGTCTCCAGGTCGTGGGAGCCGGGGGTGCCCGGCGTCCCTGGCTTCTTACTTCGCTCCTCGTTTCTGGAAGAAGACACGGGAGTGAGGGTAGAACGTAGGCAGGACTCCAGGGCACAGCGGCAGCCATCCCCGGGGCTGCAGGACCCTCCGCGGGAACCAAGGCAAGCAGCTGACATTCAGGCAAAAGGGGGACAAATGTGTGTTCAGAGTGGCTCCCACCAGGGTCTTTTCTAGGGGGGTGGAGGCAGACTGAGGATGAGTGTTGGCACAGACTGAGTCAGCTCAGTCCCTCCGCACCTCTCCCTCGAGAACCTGCAGAAGAGCCTCAGGCTGCTGTCCTGGCTACCAGAGGGAGCGGGTTTAAGGGACACTTCTCTCTCCCCTTGAGGGAAAGGGGCCCAGACCCCATCTCTGAACAAAACCTGCTCTGACCAGGGAGGCTCCTGTCTGTGTGATCCAACTGGTCAGGAAGAATCAATTTTATTAGGTCAGAGAAAAAGGACACACAAAGTGCACAATGGGTGTGTGTGTGTGTGAGTGTGTGTGTGAAAGTGTGTGTGTGAAAGTGTGTAAGGGTACACAAGTGGACAATGGTGTGTGTGTGTGTGAGAGTGTGTAAGGGTACACAAAGTGCACAATGGGGGTGTGAGTGTGTGTGTGTGAGTGTGTAAGGGTACACAAAGTGGACAATGGGTGTGTGTGTGTGACAGTGTGTGAGGGGTGTGTGTGTGTGTGTGTGTACGCGCACATGCACGAGCTCGTGTCTGCCTGTCTGCCTTCAGGACAAAGAGGAACTGACCACTCCTAAAGAAAGCCCAGTCCTGGGCACCCTGGCCCTCCGACCCCACCCTCTGCACCTGTGACCACATTCTGGTCACAAGACAGCCTCGTCCTCCTCAGTGTTTCCAACATCCAGGCTACAAAGTGGTCACAAGACAAACGTCTGTTCTGTAGCCTTACCATGAAGATCAACAAAAAATATTCATTAATCCTCCCCTCAAGCATTTCACAGCACAGACTTTCCAGTATTATCTTGTTATGCGACTTTAAGCCGATTAAAATAGGACAGGCACGGGCTCAGTGGGTAGGTAGAACAGATCTGGAGAACTGGAAGGTCTGCATTATTATTATTATTATTTTTTTTTTGGAGACAGAGTCTCACTCTGTCACCCAGGCTGGAGGGCAGAGGTGCAATTATCAGCTGGCTGTAACCTCCGCCTTCCCGGGTTCAAGCAATTCTCCTGCCTCAGCCTCCCAAGTAGCTGAGATGACAGGCCCCCCACCACCACACCCAGCTAATTTTTTGTATTTTAGGTAGAGATGGGGTTTTGCCATGTTGCCCAGGCTGGTCTCAAACTCTTGAGCTCAGGCGATTGTCCCCCTTGGCCTCCCAAAGTGCTGGGATTACAGGTGTGAGCCACCACGCCCCGCCGGGTCTGTATTTTTCAGGGTATTGTCATCCGCCCCCCTGTTAACAATGACTGAGCCTGCAGGGAATCCATACTGCTCCTCACCCCAAAACAGAGACGTGAAAGCTCCCAGCGCGCTCACCCCAGGTCGGCAGCCTCTGTTTCCAGAATGATGCTGTTGGTCTTGTTGTCGAGGACCACGTTGCTGATGTCACTGCCATAGAAGCTGGACCGGGGGGTGCTGACGCAGCTGGACAGGAGGGAGTGTGTGCCCGAGGACTGGTTGGAGCCGGGGATGTTCATGGGGGAAGGAGTCAGAGATCTCTGCCTGACGACCTGGTTGATGCTCCTCACGGTCTCAAAGACGCGCTTCTGGTGACTAGGGAGAAGGCACCACACCATGAGTGAGCCAACGTGGGGACGGCCCGGGAGTTTTACCTCCAGAACCATCCACTGAGGGGCCGAGAGGACACCCAGCCGTGTGCGTCCCTGCAGCCCACTACCCTGTGCCTGCCGTGTGTTTTTCAGGGTGTTGGCTGCCTCCGTCACAATGTGAAACTTGAGAGATTAAACACTCACTCAATCCAGGACTTGAACACCTGGTTGTACGCTAAGAGTGATGCTAGTGAAACCGCATTTCACATCCCTAAAGCTTAACCTGCAAATAAAAATCCTTCAGCATGACTTTTGTCCCCTGGGTTTCTCTTTTCACCGTCACCGGGATGCACGCCGCAGCAGGACGTGTTCACTGCTCAGCTCATCGCAGAGATTCAGCCGACACTTACAGAATGCATATCTGTCAAACATTCACAGAGGAAAAGCAAGACTTAAAGGGAGTCTTAAACCTCTATAAGGAGGTGGTAAATACTAGATTTGCCTATTTTTGGAAAGTGCTATTTTAGCAGAACCACACTGTGATGCCCATTTGTCCCCTTTTAAAGAGAAAAGGGCACGCATGTTTCTACAATGGCTACTTCTTTCTGGGCTGCAGAGGGTGTCGCACATAACGTGAAGTTTCCTTGGACGCTTGTCCCGCCCAGGGTCTCACTTAAGTTCTGTCCATGGAGTCTGGGTTCAGAGAAAACATAATGAAACCTGCTCCACAGGTTCCTTGCGAACACCTTGGGGCAGGCTAAGCACAGAGCTGCGTTAGGAAGAGAGACGGGGGAAGCTCATACCCCAGGTGTGTTCAGAAGGGGATGGAAGCCCTGCACAAAATCTCTACAAATCCTCTGAATCTCCTATTACATTGCTTTTAATTTTTTCAAAAATGCTTTCCACTGAAAGGAAAGATAAAAACGTGCAGCTGTGTCAAGATGAAGCTTGTGTGAAGAGAGATGGGAAACATGTATCTCCCTTTCTAGGACTTTCTGGAAGTTCAAAATTTGTTTTCAAAACCTAAGAAGAAGAGGAGCACAGGGGCTCACGGGCCAGTGACTCACATCTGTAATCCCAGCACTTTGGGGAGGCCAAGGCGGGAGGATCACTTGAGGCCAGGAGTTTGAGATCAGCCTGGGCAACATGGTGAAGCCCCATGTCTACAAAAGATTTTTAAAAATTAGCTGGAAGTGGTGGCATGCACCTGCAGTCCCAGCTACTCAAGAGGCTGAGGTAGCAGGATCACTTGTGCCCAGGAGTTCGAGGCTGCAGTGAGCTATGATCACACCACTGCACTCCAGCATGGGTAACAGAGACACTCCATGTCTAAAAAATAAATAAATAAAAATTAATACGAACAAAACCTAATCAGAGGAGCTGGGGGGATGCTGTCAGCTGTGTTCTATCATTTCCCTTGATCTGGACTGGGAAGGACAGGAGTCAGTCGGTGTTGGTACCCAGAACCCCAACGTCGCTAGGTTTTGACCACCACAGGTCCCGTTTGCCTCTGGGAAGCTTAGAACCGTAAACACTGTCTGGCCGTACGTGATGTCCGGAGACTCGGCCTCTTCCAGCTGCAGCTCCTTGCGCATCGTCCCCTCAATCTCCGCTGCCAAGGAGTCCTGGGAAAACCAGAAGACAAATGTCAGTGGGTGCCAGTTCAAATGCTCCGTCTCTGAGAGAGGCACGCAGCCAGGCGCGCCATGGAGAGTACACCGAGCCAGCAGAAGCCCACAGTCTCCCAAACGCAAGGCGAACAGCACTCTCTGCTTTCCGAGACCCTTGCTGAGCGTTCACCGGGCAGGTTCTGAGCATGGCGGTGCCACCAGGCACGGAGCGTACGCTGCCGACTCACGTACCGTTAGGTGTCTAAAGCAAACTCTCTGCTCCCTTGGCCAAGCCCCGGAGTTGCCAGGATGGCCACAAGGTGGGATGCGGAGCTTACGGGGGAAGGCGATGCATTCACAGTGATGGAGACAGGTGAATTTCCAAATACTTCTGAGCGAACCGTGAGATATGGCACCACAGCCCCCACACAGGCCACACAGGCCACACAGCCCACACAGAGCTACTGTCCCCCTCATCTACAGGGACTGTCACACTCCCTCCATGTCCAAGAGTTTGACAGAGAATAGACAAGTGCTTCCAGCTTCGGCTCCTAGGGAAGCCTTTCCCACCTCCAAAGGGCAGTCTGGTTCTGGGCTGGCGAGGTCTCACACGCATGGCCTGAGTCACACACACTGACATCTCCAGGTCTCCACTCTCATCCTCCCTGCCCTCCTGAAAGGGAAGTTCCTTTCCCCGCCAACTACCCACGGCCCGCCCACCTTTTAACAACCTGCCCAGGAAATGCAGGTTCCCGCTTCCACTAGGAATCCGCATTTCTTCAGAAGCAGACACCAAACATAGGACGTCTTTGCCACTTTCTTCCAACAGCTCACATATTTCTCTCTCCAGCTTTGTGGGGCAGGGAAAGGCACCAGCCAGGGGTGGCTAGTGAGCACATGAAATGTGGTGTGTGACTAACGACCTGAATTCGTAATTATATGTTAATTTAATTGATTTAAATTTGCATAGCCACGTGTGGCCAGTGGCTTCCCAGCAGATGGCGCCTGGGGCCTCCAGAGCATCCACCTCTGTGGCTTCACAGTCCACAGGGAAGCTCCCGTCCGGAGGCTGGAACCCAGTGAGGAGACGCCACAGGAGCCAGCAGGAAGCTCGATGAATAAAGGGCTGGCAGGCTTGCTCCCAATCCTTATTCACAAATGTGCATTTTGTTTTGTAATTACTACCCACAGATTGCAATTAAACATGATGTCTAGTAAGAGCTTCCCTAGGTGAGTCTGACATCTTTTAAGCCAGTCTATTTTTTAAATACTGTTATTCGCCATATAATTTACAAACAGAGAGGAAAGGGCCTTCATACACCTTAAGAAACATCAAGTGTCAAATTAATACAGTTGGCCCTCCGCATCTGTGGATTCCTCAGACTCAACTAATCTTGGATAGAAAATTTGGGGGTAAAAAAAAACCATAATAAAAATTTAAAAATCAGTACAGTATAATAACTATTTAGAGAGCATTTACAATGTATGAGGTATTACCAGTAATCTGAGATGATTTTTTATATGTGGACGAGCATGCATACGTTGTAAGCAAACATGATGCTCTTTTACATCAGGGACTGAGGCACTGGAGGATTCTGGTATCTGCAGGGGGTCCTGGAACCAAGTGCCCTCAGATACAGAGAAATGACTAATTCCAAAGCCACACTGAGATGAAGCCACATGCAGGCTCTGTGACGTGTTTACGGCCATGACCCTCGCCCCTCCGGCAAAGCAGGCAAGTCTGTGGACCCCTTCTCAGAATAATATTTTTAGGCAAATAAAATTATGAGGATTATTAAAGAAGGCAGATATATATATATCAATATAACTGTGTGTGTGTGTGTGTGTGTGTGTGTGTGTGTGTGTGTGTGTGTCTTTGGGGGGGGGAGAGGGAGGGGAGAGAGGAGAGATCAGGACTGGTTATTGCTGTCATTTTGAAGCAGAGATCAGCATCTGGGGGGTGTGAGGCACCTGTAGCAACACCATAGGGCCCACCAAGGTGGCTCACGCCTGTAATCCCAACACTTTAGGAGGCTGAGGTGGGTGGATCACCTGAGGTCAGGAGTTCAAGACCTGCCTGTCCAACATGGTGAAACCCCGTCTCTACTAAAAATACAAAGGTTAGCCGGGCGTGGTGGTGGCAGCCTGTAGTCCCAGCTACTCAGGAGGCTGAGGCAGGAGAATCGCTTCAGCCCATGAGGCAGAGGTTGCAGTGAGCAGAGACTGCACGCACCACTGCACTCCAGCCTGGGTGACAGAGCAAGACTCTGTCTCAAAAAAGGAAAAAAAAAAGAAATGTGCTGTAAAAATACCTGTGATTTCTAATGATGACAAAGTCACAGGAGTGCTAATATCACTGTGGCATGGTGACCTTCATAAAGAAGAAAATATTGAGTACAACTAGGAACTAATTTCACAGGCCCCCCTCCCCCCGGATTCAGTCTGTGCATCCCAGATGAACTCCTGCTGTAAGGCAAGAGAACTGGGAACACAGTTGTGTAAAAACTGCTGCTCACTGTCCCATTCAACGACCAGAACAGCCGGGAGCAAGAGAGGCCGATCCCGGCAATGCGCACGCTGCCGTCTGCAGACCGCTTTAAATACCTTTAACGCGCAGTGTGCTGAAAAACACCCATCTTCAAAAACGGGGCTGTGCCAGGAGCTACAGAAAAAGGCAACACGTCATCTCAGCAAACACGAAAGCTGAGGATCCCTCAGAAGAAACCCAAGTGTAAGTTTCGAGTAGACTTTTCTCACGCAATAGTTTAGTTTTCAAAGAGAGGTCCATCCTTGAGAGTGGGGAAGGCAGCGGAGCGGCTCCTGGTGCCAGGAAACGTGAAGGTGCCCGGAGCTCACCGCACTGAGATGAGAAGCCAGGAGGGAGGGAACCCCGCCCGGCAAGGAGCCTGCAGCGCAGCGCGGGAGCCACCGCACTTACTGCCAGATCAGGGGACTGGGGGACTGAATATTCTCTGCTGTTTTTACTGAGATTCCTGGAATCACTGGATCGCCCATCTGGGCCTTAGAAAGTTGACTACGACTTTCTTGTTGGCTTCCCTGACAGGTCAGTGAAGTTTCCTGCCGGTGGGGTAGAAGGGTGGTGGCTGCTCCAGCCTGACTTTGATGCGTGGAAGCAAAGAAGAAAAAAACCATGATTTAGGGAAAGTGGGCCAGACAGCAAGGAGGGAGGAACAGGGGTTGGCAACAGGGGCCGAAGGGAAAGAGTGCCCAGGAAAGGCCGCGTTCAGAAGGGTCAGAATTTCACAGGCGTCCATGCAGCCATCCACTCCTAGCTCACTCGGAGGAGTGTCTCTCGAAAGCTCTTCTCTCCTCAGAGAGCATTTAGCTTTCATCAAACCATGGAAACAGAGCCTGAACGGACAGGAGTTCTTCAGGCCATCAGATCCATCTAAACGTGATGTCTATTAAATGTCTACAATTCTACAACGTACCAAGCGCTGGGCTAGGTACAGAGTATTAAAGAGGAAGGGGGAAAAGTTACAAAGAAGACAGGGTCCCCACCTTCCAGCGGCTTTAGTCTGATAGAAGAGGACATGAGGAAGCTCATTCCCCTAGAACACTTCTCACAGGGCAGTGATCAGCCACGGTGTTCAGCCCCGGGCTGCCCGATTGCCACAAGGAGAGCAGCCTCCTGGAAAATGCCCTTGTCAGTCGTGTTCCCCCCTGGCACATGAAGCAAATGAGGCCAGGGCTAAAAAATTAGACTGTAGTAAAATAATATGAAGAATGTAGCTGAGTGTATGGCTCACCCCTAGCATTTTGGGAGACTGAGGTGAGAGGATCACTTGAGGCCAGGAGTTCAAGAGCAGGCTGGACGACGGAGCGGGACCCTATCTCTATTTTTGAAAGAAAGAAAGGAGAGAGAGCAAGTGAGAGAGAGAATGTTGTCAGCCTAAGCACGGAGAGAAATCTGTTTTTCAGATCACAGATACTGCAATTCACCAAGAGAATGATTAATAAGCATACAAAGAATCAGCAGAACTGGAAGGGCACTTAAAAAATTCTGGAATGTACTTATGAGGCCAAAACAGCACACACTCCAATAAGGTCAGAAAAAACAAAACAAAAAAAGAACTCAGGAACAGGGTGAGTATCCCATATCCAGAATACCTGGGGCCAGTAGTGCTTGAGATTTGGGGATATTTCCAGGATTTACGCCAACTGAACATACCTAATCTGAAAATCTGAAATCCAAAATGCTCCAATGACCGTTTCCTTGAGCATCGTGTCAACGCTCAAGGAGCTCTGGATTGTGAAGCAGTTCGGATCCGAGGTGCTCCACCTGTGAGTCAGATCTTCCAGTCCCTGAGGTTCCTACTAAAGCCAGTTCCTGCGACACTTAGCTTTTAATGGCAGGAGCAGAAAAGATAACAGATTTAGAGGAATGGAAAAGAAAGGACCGACGTGTCTTACGTAGTTAAGAAATCACCAGTCAGACTCAAGCGTCCTTGATTCAGACTCAGATCTGAACTGAGCAACGAGAAGTCAGCTATAAACACCCAACTCCAGTGGCCGGAACGTCCCACACCGCTCCCATCGCCTGGGCCCCTGCCGTCCTCTGCTGGGAAGAAGGCACCACTCACCATGGGAAACAGACCCAGCGAGTGGTAACGCCGGGACGTGGTGCTGGGCACAGTCTTGTTCCGGAGGTTCTTCAGCTCCTCCTGCGCCTCGTGCAGCATCTCCATGCACTCGGCGTACTTGTCCTCCAGCTCACGCAGCTGCAGGCGGCAAAGACACAGAGGTCAGGGTCTCCTGGGCACCCAGGTGTGCACACATCTGCCCCTCCGAGGGCCGGAAAGACACCAACAGTCCCCAGCACGCGTGGAACCAGCTGCCCTGTGGGCTTGTGGCCTAATCACAGAATTTTCAAAGGCTTGCTTTTTCTCTGACTTGAGGCAAGCGTACAGACTCAGAAAACTTCTCAAACACCAACGGCGGGAAAATGAAATAAAACCAACTTCATGCAAAAGAAAAATCAAGACTACCCATGATGGCTTACATGTGTAATCTCAGCCCTTGCCCTTTGGGAGGGCAAGGCAGGCAGATTACTGCAGTCCAGGAGTTGAGAGTAGCCGGGGCAACATGGCAAAACCCCATCTTTACAAAAGAGCAAAAATTAGGTGGGTATATGGCCCACACCTGTAGTCCCAGACACTCAGGAAGATCACCTGAGCCTGGGGAGGGAGTGGCTGCAGTGAGCCATGGTCATGCCACTGTACTCCAGCCTGCGTGACATATGAGACCCTGTCTCAAAAAAAAAAAAAAAAAAAAAGAAAAGAAAGAAAATTGTCACACCCATGTTTCAAGCCACAGCTGTGCGTGAGGTTCCTCTTCCAGAGTGCTCTGTGTGGCTCCGTGTCATTTCTCTGAACACGTTTTGGGCACCTGCATTTGCCAGGCTCAGCTGGTAGAGCCCACCCCACAGGTGCTCAGAACCAGCAACCGTGCCAGTGAGTACGGAATCAAGATGTGACTGGGTTGACTATCCCATGAATAAAAATGAAATGAAATTCAAATAAAAACGGTGGTTACGACGGACGGGACTGTTGCCATCGGGGAAGGCTGGCCCGCCTTCGCCGCAGTCAGAGGCGCTGCAGGAATGAGGGGAGCTCACCTCAGCCGTGAGCTGCCGCTGGGCGTCCTTCGCGGCCCCCAGATGCTGCACGAGCTCTTCATTTTCCACCGCGCACTAAGGCATGGCAAACACAGAACATTTTTTAAGACACTCAGATTGTCCAACTTCCCCCCTCATTAACCTCATCCACGATGCTCTCATCACTTTCTACGAGGACATGCTTATCTCATATTCAAGTTCTGTTTTTCATATGATTTTGAAGGTAAAGTCTTTCCCAGATCCACATTCATTCCCTATAGCCCTCCACCCCATCCCCCACGTCCAGAGCTCGCTGGAAGCACTTTACCCTACACTAAGAGCAAAGCCAATTTTGTTGCTCTTCTTAAATCTGAAGAGGAGTCTGCTCTACTGTAGAACATACCTAGTGCCCTGTGTGAAACAAACACTAGACTAGAGGATCCAGGAGTTAAACTCCAAAAGTCCATATTTACAGCATCTTTCTAACGAGTTCGAATAGTTTTGGGAGATAAGAGGTCACAACTGAGACTCGTTAGCCACTCAGGGTGATCAGTTTTATCCTGCTGAGCCCCCTGAGCTTTTCCTGCAGAGGGGCAACGCTAACTGCTAAGATTGAAAGGAAAGGGCGCTGTCTTCTGGAGTAAGCGTCTCTTTCCCACCTCAGCATGGCCACTGTAGCAGCCAGAGAAACAGAGAAGCCTTACAGCTTTGGCCTTTTTCTGCAGATCCACTATTTGTGACAATAAGTGTGTGATCTCCTCTTGCTGGCGGGCAGCATCTTCTGTCTTCTTGGCCAATTCCTCTGAGATACTAGCAATCTGGACATTGGCATCCCCTTTGACAAAGAAATGATCACAAGAGCATGTCAGAAAACCACACATGAAGACCCAGAGAGAAAAGTTTCTATGTGCTTTGCACAAGAAAAACCATGCTTATTATAAGACAGCTGGAGTGGAGAGGGTGCAGGAAGAAGGAACTCATAGTGACCATTTTCCCACATGGGGAAGCAAAGTAGCTTCTGCAGGGCTCAGAAAAAGCAACTCACCCCATTAGCTGTCACTCCGGGACTCAGCGTGGGGCCCCCAATCCCACCTTTTGTTCTGGGGACACCAAGGATGTGTCCCAGAACAAAGCATGGAGGCTCCGGGGGTCATATAGAAAGTGATGAGACATGAGTGCACCTGGCCAAATTCTTACATTCCACACGTGAGCAATCCATGAGACTAAACAGCCACCCGCGGCTGCGCCCAGTTCTGGAAAGGAACCTGCCTGCACAGCACAATCCCTTGGGGTTTCCAACCCATATTCAGAGTGAGCACTCATTCAGCTAGATTGGAACATGAGGTGTGTTTCATTTACTTAGTACTTTGCTGTAATGCAAGATACTTAGCGTTTTGATCTTTTGTCTTAACTCGTAGACTTAAAACGAAGAGGATGAGGGAAATATTTATTTGCAAAGGTGAGAACTCTGGCCTCAACTTCCACAAATCAAATTATTGGTTGTAAGCTGTCCTTCCACATTAGCAACACAGGTTTCTGTGAGTGGCCCTAACTTAGACATTAAAAAATTCCAATATTCCAGCCAGGCACAGCAGCTCACAATCCAGCACCTTGGGAGGCTAAGGGCGGGTGGATCTCCTGAGGTCAGGAGTTCAAGACCAGGCTGACCAACATGGTGAAACCCTGTCTCTACAAAAATACAGAAATTAGCCAGGCATCATGGCGGGTGCCTGTAAACTTGGGAGGCTGAAGTGACAGAATTGCTTGAACCCAGGAGGCAGAGGTTGCAGCGAGCTCAGGTCCTGCCGCTGGACCCTAGCCTGGGTAACAGAATGAGACTTTATCTCGAAATAATATTAATAATTCCAATATTCCAGTAGAAAGCCAAAATCAAATTTAAATAACCACCTCAGTAATAAACTGAGATAACGCACAGCTGGCAACTTAGCACCAAGTTGATTAATGGGGAGGGGTTGGCACACAAGGCTGGGGAGGCCTCTGGTTTAAGGGAAAATGCTGCTGAGCCGTAGGCTGGCAGGAAGCTGCCCTTCGGCAGGGCTGCTGCGAGGCTGTCACCACCACAGCGGATGCGGGGCAGCAAGTGGGGCGGGGCAGCGCTGTGTGCGGGGCGGGGCAGCGCTGTGGACGGGGCGGGGCAGCACTGTGGGCGGGGCGGGGCAGCGGGTGGGGCGGGGCAGCACTGTGGGCGGGGCGGGGCAGCAGGCGGGGAGGGGCAGCAGGCGGGGAGGGGCAGCAGGCGGGCGGGGCGGGGTAGCAGGCCGGGCGGGGCACCAAGTGGGGCGGGGCACCAAGTGGGGCGGGGCAGCAGGCGGGGCGGGGCAGCGAGGTTGCGGGGGAAGGCTGGGGCGGCGCGGTGGGCGGGGCGGGACTCACTCAGCTCCTTCACGCAGTCGTTGACCAGCTGCTGCTCCTTCTCCTCGTAGGTGATGGTCTCCGTCTTCAGCTGGCAGGCCTGCGGACGAGACCCAGGTCAGATGCCGCGCGTTCTCACCTGGCCAGGTGGGGCAGACACGGGCCGAGGCGTAAAGCCAGGGCTAACCTGGGTCTGGGCGGGAAGCCACCCTCTGCAGCCCCCCACGTGTCCCCCGTCGCACCCTCAGATACACATGGTCCGTCCGAGTTCCCCACTTAGTTAATGGCCGTGCGCTCACGCTGAGAACCAGCTTCACCATCCTATCCTGGCATCTGTTCCTATCTGCTCATTTGTGGCTGTCCCGGCTCTCACACATGGATGCTCTGTGGCCCTCACAGTGCCTGGGACACCACCCTGCCCACAGCAGGCACCCTAAGGACAACCACGTACGAATGGCAAACACCTGCTATGTGCCAGGCACCGAACCGTGAGGTTCCGAGTTGCACTTAAATCTGCTGTGTTCAAGTTTAGTAAGAACAAGGCTCAACACAAAAGCATTATGACGTAGAGGCACAAGAACCGTCCCGGGACTCTGGACAACTTGCCCTGGCTGCAAATCGTGGGATGACAGACATCTGAAGGCCAGGCACAGTGGCTCACACCTAGAACCCCAGCACTTCGGGAGGCCGAGGAGGGAGAACTGCTTGAGCCCAGGAGGCAGAGGAGGTTGCAGTGAGCCAAGATCACGCCACTGCACTCCAGCGTGGGTGACAGCGAGACCCCATCTCAAAAAAGGAAAGAAAGAGAGAGAGGGGAAGAAAGGAAGTGGGGGAGGGAGGGCCCCAGTTAGACAGAAGTGTCTGAGCCCTGGGTCCTGGCTCCAGAAAGACATTACACTGGGAGCGGAGGTAGGATAGCAGGAGTCTGTAGCTGGGATCAGATTCCCTCAGCTGGCTTTGGGTGAAGACTGACAGGGCTGAGTTCCTGGGCGCCTGGGGCTGGAGCATTTACCCGCGTCAGGTGCTGGAAGAGGCGGCACTGGACTGGGAATGGGGAGCAGGGGGCTGTTGCCTTGCTTGGCTGCTGGCTGGCAGAGGAAACCTGGGCAGCCTTCTTGGTCAGTCTGGGTTTACGTGACCCATCAGTGAACAAGGGGCTGGAAGAGGTGAGGTCCAAGAGAACAGGGTGTGCAGAAGAACATCTTGTTCAGGTGGGGCGTGAAGATCTCACCAAGGTGTGGGCAAGTTCCACAGACGGTCTGGACTATTCGAGGGGCTCCCAGGAGCCCAGGGCCAGCGTAGGTGGGCACACAGCTCCCACCTGACACAGGCCTGATAAACAGGCTGTACTTCGGCCAGAGGACAGAAACTTACCACTGATTAAGACAGATGGTACTAAATCTGCACGAATTGGTGCTTCTAGAGGGGGCAGTGGGTGGAGGCAGAAAACAGGCTTGGAGTCACAGACTTGCAAATGGTAGCTTTGTCATTTACTCACTCGAATGACCTTGGGTTATCAAAACACGTAGTAGCCTGGGGCCCACTGTTCCAATGAGAATCAGAGTAACCAGCTTTCAGCCCTGTTGTGAAGACTAAAAAAATGAGGCGGGCAAAAGCCCTGGCACAATCCCTTGGCAAAAAAAATAACAGCACGGGTCCCCGGTCGCCTCAGCTCAGGCTTTTTGACTTAATTAAGAAATATGGCTCTGCTGGGCGCAGTGGCTCACGCCTGTAATCCCAGCACTTTGTGAGGCCGAGGTGGGTGGATCACCTGAGGTCACGAGTTCAAGAGCAGCCTGACTAATATGGTGAAATCCCATCTCTACTAAAAATACAAAAATTAGCTGGGCGTGGTGGTGCCTGCCTAGAATCCCAGCTACTTGGGAGACTGAGACAGGAGAATTGCTTGAGCCCGGCGGGCAGAGATTACAGCAAACTGAGACTGCACCACTGTACTCCAGCCTGGGTGACAGAGTGAGACTCTATCTCAGAAAAGAAAAAAAAGAAACCTGGCTGTGAGCACCTGTGGGCCCTTTCCTTGAGTATCTGCTCTCTGGCAGCATGAAAGCAAGGCTGGGCTTCTCCACAGGAGCTGTGGTCAGAGCTGGGGCACACTGGGGACACCTCACTGCAGGGCCGACGGTGAAGGAGGGGTGTCCACTCTTCCCAGTCCCCTTGCTGTGTCATTCACCAGGTTCACCTGCCCCAGCCAGGGAGGCGTGTGCTGGGCTGGAAGGCAGTGCCCGGAGCATGGCAGAGGCACGTCCGCTGAGTGCCTGGCACAGCTCTTCACAGACTGCCACCTCTGAGGGCACTTAACCCTGGCTGACCTCGCCAGATAAGGCGAACGGGGCCACCTCCCTTTCAGCAGGGGCAGGGAGTGCACGTCACCTCAGATCGAAGTACAACGTTCTCCTCTTCAAGGTCTTTCAGCTTCTTTTGAAGAGAATCCAAATGAAAGTAATTCTGGACTGAGGACGACGACTCATTCCTCTTCAACCTGGGGGAGAAAGTACGATCACGATCTGGGCACACACGCTTCCTCCCAGCACCTGGGAAACCACGCGCAGACACAGGAGGGGCGTGCAGAAGGGCAGTGACCCACCAGACCACTCTCCCAGCCCCAGGAAGACAGCGCCCGGTGCACCGATTCAGACCCACAGCTCAACCCTGTATCCACAACCTGCCACGTCCCCTCGGAACTCAGGGCCACCAACTCTGTTTAAAGCCACGTCCCCTCGGAACTCAGGGCCACCAACTCTGTTTAAAGCCTACACTATTCCAGGATGTCTGGGAGTTTATTTGATACTCATAATGCATTTGTATATTCCAAGAACTCTTTTAAGTACTCTGTATGTTTCAACTCTATTAATGCTTATAACTCTGTGACCTAAGTTCTACTGCTATCTCCATTTCACAGCTGAAAACTCAAGTCACAGAGGTTGAGTAATCTAGCCCACAGCATGCAGCTAGTGAGGCCCAGAGCCAAGATGTGCAGCCAGCCTGCTGGGTGCTAGAGTTCACGCTCCCAACACAAGGCTCTGCAGACTCTGAGAGAAGACGCCGCACCTTCTGTCCCAAGGACGTGCCCCAGCACCTCTGGCTCCAGAACCCTGAATTCCCTCCAACAGCAGAGCCGAACCCATTGTCCACTAATGTGCCAGGGCACATCGATCTAAATTGACAAATAAGCAATAAGACCCAGGAAAAGGAAAACTAAAAACCTGTCCACCCAGTCCCACTTAAACAGTAACATGGATCTGTTTGAGGCGCTTGGAGACATTTGGCCCAGAGAAGGCTGGGCGCAGGTGACCCCCACTGCTGATGAAGGTGATCCGGTCTAGGTGACCCCAGGGACGTAACAACGGCCAGCCTGTGCTCTGGCCTCTGGAAACACAGCCCTCTGGTGACTTACGGGGTTGAGCATACAGACTCGGGCTCACTCTCCTCTGCCGCGCTGGTGTAGAACTGAAGCAACTCGTCCTTCATGGACAGCTCATGCCGGAGCTGAGACACCTGCATGGGCAGAGCCGGGGCCATCATTTGCTTCCCAAAGGTACCGCCATCCCAACCCACCTTCCAACACTTACCACTTGGTGACAGTATTTTCTTAAAATTCACCATTGAAAGTAAAAGCATTTAAACTGATTTTGTGCTGCTCAAAACAATAGGCTTTCATTTGATCTATTTAAAGGAAACACAATTACTTTTTGGCAGAAAGCTATCTGAATTTGTAATTTTTACTTTGGTACAAGGAACAGCAGAGAAGGGACTAGAATGACGCTTGGTGGCCGGGTGCTGTGGTTCATGCCTGTAATACCAGCATTTCTGGAGGCCGAGGTGGTGGGCGGATCATCTGAGGTCAGGAGTTCTAGAGCATCTTGACCAACATGGTGAAACCCCGACTCTACTAAAAATACAAAATTAGGCTGGGTGTGGTGGCTCACGCATGTAATCCCAGCACTTTGGGAGGCTGAGGCAGGTGGATCATTTGAGGTCAGGAGTTCAAGACCAGCCTGACCAAAACAGAGAAACCCCAATCTCTACTAAAAATACAAAGTTAGTCGGGAGTGGTGGACATGTCTGTAATCCCAGCTACTCAGGAGGCTGAGGCAGGAGAATCACTTAAACCCAGGAGGTGGAAGTTGCGGTGAGCCGAGATTGCGCCATTGCACTCCAGCCTGGTGATACGGCGAGACTCTGTCTCAAAAACAGAATGACGCTTGTGGGGGGTGAGACTGCCTGGGGCTTTGGATGCAGCCAGATGACCAGCTGGGCAAATGGCCAGAAAAATGGGTCATGTTAGGAAGGAGGAGGCCATTCATTCACTTCTGCCAGAGCCAAATCCCAGCTCCAAACAGGATCCTGGAGATGCCAGGTCTGCCTGGGCCAGCATAGGCAGCTTGCCAACCTCGCCCTCACGCTCAGATGACCACAGCCCACTCTGTGATACACCCTCATAAGGCTCCTGGCCGTGCCTGGCCAGACCTCGTTCTGTGTTCACTGCTCACTGGATAAGAATTTCAGACACAGCAAGAACAGAGGCAGCCATCAGGGAGGGCCGTATTGACTCTGCTGAGATGGCTTTGCAAACCACCCTGATTTGTACTTAACGTTTTCAAATAAAGTTCTACTGTAAAATTTTCCCTTTGCCCTTTCACTCTGCAGTACTGATGAACAGGAAACCAGTGCTAGAAAAAGAACCGCAATTATGTTTAAATTTTCTTGTTTGTCATGTGACCTAGGGTCTATGGTTTATTGCAACTTTTCTACATAACACAGTGAATTACAATGTCTTCCGTGGAGAAGACAATTTTATGTGCATAAAGGGTTTAGCTTCGACACCTAGACTGATAATTGAATAATATGCCAAAGGGAAAGATGTTAAGAGCTTTCAAATTCAAAGCTTTTCCAAGGGGAAAAGGCATTTCCGCTCCCAGAGGGTTGCATCCTCTGTGCCAGTGAGGCTTGTCCCAAGCAAGGACAGTAAAGTGAAGAAGCTGACGGGTGACCATTTGTGGGCTACTGGGTGGCAGGTCTCTCTGCTCAGAAGTGGCCGGGAGGGGGCCAGCCTGACCCAGCAAGCTTTCCCATTAGTCACATGGGAGGGAATCCAGGTCATGATGCTGGGGACAGGGAACGCAGGAATCACTCTAGTTCTAAAATACAACAATGTTCTCCCTTATTATATTTTAAAGAAAAGCTAGGATTAAAACTTTTCTATACACTGGCAACTATGCTTCATCATATTAAAACCATTGTTAAACCCAGACAGCAATGTACCGGGAATAGCTTTAACAAGAAAGAAGTTTGAAGGCATCTTAGGTACCAGAGCATCCGCTCCCACTAAGGAAGTTTCTGATAGAAAACAATGGAGAAGAGGCCAGGCACAGGGGCTCACGCCTGTGATCCCAGCCCTTTGGGAGACTGAGGCTGGTGGATCGCTTAAGCCCAGGAGTTTGAGACCAGCCTGGGCAACCCTTGGTGAAACCCTTCTCTACAAAAAAAACACAAGAATTAGCCGGGCGTGGTGGCACCTATCTGTGGTCCCAGCTACTCGGGAGGCTGAGGTGGGAGGATCGCTTGAATCCAGGAGGTGGAGACTACAGTGAACTGTGATCTTACCACTGCACGCCAGCCTGGGGGACAGAGTGAGACCTTGTCTCAAAAAAAAAAAAAAAAAAAAAAGAAAAGAAAAGTGGGGAAAAGAAACAAAGAGGAGAGTTCTCACAGTTAAAATTCACTGTTAAAAGAACAGGGCGACAGAAAGGAAGCTCCGAAGGAGGGCATGGCTCTAAGCCTCTCGGCCATCCACTGGTCCATGTCCCTCCAGAAAACCAGCATCACTCCTCCTAAGCCAAGGCACCCTCAGATGCGCTAAAAGTTCCATGCCCTTCCTCTCACACTCACATCCACCAGCCAAGACTCACATCATGGTAATAAGAGGGGTCTGTCATGAAGGCAATAGGCATTTTTGTTTCGTTTTGTTTAACAGTACGAAATTATACTGTCACGATGACACGAGTCTCCACTTTCCTCTGTGTGCAGAGCTGACGTCCTCACAGGGCTCCTCTCCAGCTGCCCACAGGAAGCCCTGCTTGTTGGGGTGGTTGCCCGGGTGCCCTTCTGCCACACGTGAGGCGTCTGGATCAGCCAGGACTCTCCGAGGGCAAGGACTATGGCTGACCCAACACCGCACACAGGCGTGCGACTGAGGACTGTGCCCGCCCAACCTACCCGTCCTCACTGCTGGAGACAGAAAGGAGGCACGGGCAGAGCTGGAGCTGCAGGGGGCGGCTTTCAGGCCCTAGCTGCCCATCTCGGAGCAGACGGCTCTGGGCTCCGGCCATGGTCGTGCCCTCGGGAGGGACCTTCTAACTAGGACCCCGTTCAGCCGCTGCTTCAGCCATGCCCAGGGCCCCTGGGCCCTCCGCAAGCCTCGGCCGCTCTCACCTCCTCTCTGACGTGCTCCACCTGCTCCTCCAGCAGCTCGTTCCTCTCCGTGAGGGTCTTGTTCTTCTTCAACAACGACTGGCCAATGCGGGCGGCCAATTCTAAATCCCGCTCTTTCTGCGGAAGGAGAGAGGGAGAACAGGGGTTCAGAAGGCCTGTGTTTCCTGAAGGAGCCAGCGGTGCTCTGCGTCAAGTAGGAAAACAGGGGCATCTAGCAACACCAAGGAATTAATCATTCACATCCCCACTGGCATCTGATGCTTGTTAAAACAGGTGCAACCTCTGCCCACACCGTGTGCGAGAGCCACACGGACGTCACGCAGTAGAAGGGAGGCCTGAAAATGTAATGAAAAAAACAAAAGAAAAACGTGCTTCTCAAAACAGTTACATGCAACTGCTTTGTTACTGTGCAATCATGGGATAGTCTCTCCACCTGAGGGTTGGGCTACTGTATTGCTAGGGCCCAGCACAAGGAAACAGTAGCTATTTGTTCAGTGAATGAATGAATGAATGAATGAATATAGAAATTCTAAAACGCTCTTAGAATGAAGCCAAGAGCTGACCCAGGGAGGCAGCCTGTTTAGCACACATTAGGCTGGAATGCATTGAGTTCCTTATTTTTGCCTTATGGGAAACAAAAATGTTTAAAGTTACTCTGAAAAACAATGATGTGCTTTTTTGTTTTGTTTTGTTTTTTACTTAGAAAAGGTTACTCAAGCTTCATTAAGAAAAAAACAACTTCCGAAATGGAGCTATTATGCATAAAATGGCCATACCTCACAGACAAAAACATGCTTATGGCACAGAATTTACTGTTAGCTCAGCTGATGGCATCAGTTGGACACAGCAAGACTCTGTCTCAAAAAAAAAAAAAAAAAAAAAAAAAAAAAAAAAAAAAACCAAAACCAAAAACAAAAAAAAACCAGAGGAAAATTGGGAGTGGCGTGTAAAGGCAGGCAGCGTCTGTGGGAAGCAAGACGTCCCCGATAGTGGACAGGCGCCATCAGCAAACGCAGACTTGGTGATTTGCTACCACTGTCTGATTCAACTTGGCTGTTGGCAAAGGGAGGAGAAGTCAGAAAAACGAAATCATTTTAGAAGTCTACGCTAATGACTGTTCATCTGCTTTGAAAGAAAGAATGGAACGTGTTCTTTGGGGCAGGAAAATTGCTGGGGAGGAGTCCTGGGCTCTGATCCAGCACCTGCTATTAACTTCCCACATGGTCCCAGGCAAAGTGCTTCTGCCTCACAGGATCAGGCACTACAGATTCTTCTTCTTTTTTTTTTTTTTTTTTGAGACGGAGGCTCACTCTGCTGCCCAGGCTGGAGTACATGGCGCGATCTCAGCTCACTGCAACCCCCTCCTCTCAGGTTCAAGCAATTCTCCTGCCACGACCTCCTGAGTAGCTGGGATTACAGGTGCACAACACCCATGCCCAGCTAATTTTTGTATTTTTAGTAGAGACGGGGTTTCACCGCATTGGCCAGACTGGTCTCAAATCCTGACCTTAAGTGATTCGCCCTCCTTAGGCTCCCAAAGTGCTGGGATTACAAGCATAAGCTGCTGTGTCCAGACAACAGATTCATTTTTCAGGCCACAGGTTTCAAACCCATTAGTGGGTTGAGAAACCATCTTAGTGACAGCAACCAACCTTTTGTTTTAACTTCAATACAATGGCACAGAATGGAAAACACCAAAGTGCGTCGTATGTAATAAGAGTATTATTTAATGTTTAAACTGTTGTCTCGTCACGGATTTGCCTGTGTGAGTACCGGGTCACAGCCTAAGCTGTGTTTCTTACAGCAGGTACTAGTCACAGGTTCCGCTGCTCCAGACGAACCAGCCCTACCACACACTGGGAGAGTTTGGGTTCTCTATGTGAACGCGGTTCCCTCAACTGTTAGAGGGAGGTAAAGGGGCAGGCTAGCTGAGATATTCTAGAAAAACTCTTCTAGCCTTATGACTCATTGAGTTTTAGAATACGTAGAATAATCAACTTTTATTCCTAACTTCTTAGATATCCACCAAATTATTCCATGCAATAGTAACCACATCTCCCTTTGCAAAGCCCAGGAATTCCACTGAAGATGAGCATAGCGCTTGAGGTCTAAGACTGGATTCAACCACACTTCGGCTCCCTCTTGCAGAATGGCAGCCCTTCTCCTCCAGGCCTTCCACAGTCCCCAAAATGGCACTGCTGTCACCATAGTCACAGAAGCCAGCCAGGTATCACAGTTATAAAAAATGAGCCAGGTGCAGCAGCTCACGCCTGTAATCCCAACATTTTGGGATCACTTGAGGTCAGGAGGTGGAGGTCAGCCTGGCTAACGTGGCAAAAACCCCATCTCTACTAAAAATACAAAAATTAGCTGGGTGTGGTGGTGGGAGCCAGTAATCCCAGTGACTCGGGAGGCTGAGGCTAGAGAATCGCTTGAACCCAGGAGTCAGAGCTCACGGTGAGCCGACATCACCCCACTGCACTCCACCCTGGGTAAGAGAGGGAAAGTCTGTCTCAAAAAAAAAAAAACAAAAGAGCAACAAATTCCCCAACTCATTCCCACACCTTGTGCCTCCTCATTGTGATGCTTCCTTTCTGGAAACACAGTACATGTGGAGAGGGCTCATGAGTCTTCCCAATCAACTGAGATGCTCATCCCTGCACATTTATACACACTGCTCACAGTGTCTACTAAGAAGTTCCCTTGGCCGGGGACAGTGGTTCATGCCTGTAATCCCAGCACTTTGGAAGGCCAAGGCCAGAGGGTCTCCTGAGCACAGGAGCTCAAGACCAGCCTGAGCAACAGTGGAGACCCCATCTCAAGATACAAAATGGAAAGAAAGGTCCCTTATCTCATAGCCCTTTGCCGTGTCTCAGACTCAACTGTTGTGGAAAGGTCTCAAAGACTCGTGTGGGAGACTGCACAGAATTAAAGTCTCCAGGGGCTCACTCAAGACCAGCACCCAGCCCACGTGCTTTCAGCTGGATTTGGTTAAAACTGTAATACCAATGTTCACTTCCCTTTGGAAGTGTGGTCTCCATGACTCTACCAAATGTCTCATGTGAACACTCAGCAGGCACTGCGTCAGCGCTCCTCAGTTCACCACCTGTTCTGCGTTGCCTTCACGCACGCAGGCTGCCAAGTTCCAACAAGCGCTGATACTTTGTATGCCCTGGCCGTATACACACACACACACACACACACACACACACACACACACACACACACATATTTTTATATGGAGTCTTGCTCTGTTGCCCAGGCTGGAGTGCAGTGGTGTGATCTTGGCTCACTGCAACCTCTGCTACCTGGGTTCTAGTGATTCCTCTGCCTCAGCCTCCCGAGTAGCTGGGATTATAGGCACATGCCACCTCACCCAGCTAATTTCTGTATTTTTAGTTTCACTATGTTGGCCAGGCTGGTATCAAACTCCTGACCTCAAGTGATCCACCCATCGCAGCCTCCCAAAGCGCCCGCCTGGACTTTACCACATCCTGCATGCACATTTCAGTGTAAACAAATGAAGCACAAAGTATGATAATGAAGACGAGTCAGGCAAGGCAAGGGATGCCAGAGCACCTGAAGGATACAGAAGGCTCACAAAGGGCCAGAAACTAACAGGAACTGGGAGACAGGACGGGGAAGAAAAACAGGTTAGGCGGTGAGCTCAACAATGAAGTCCTCTGTCTACCGGTCACACCTCAAACCCTGCACCCGGGAGCTGCCTCGCCTCTTCTTGCCCCATAAAGACAAACACTTCCCTGGTCGATACCAGAAATGTGATCTTTAATTTTAAAGAATACTCTCTGCCAGAAGAAAAAGCAAGAAGTCATAGCAAATGGGTAAAAAAAAAAAACCAGTTCAAATGAGACCTGGTATCTGACAGCATAACAGGTGGTTACAGTTAACAGGAATTTATTCCACATTAAAAATAACTAGAAGTGTGATTGGAACGGTTATAACACAAAGGAATGATAAAGGCTTGAGGTGATGACACCCTTTTCTTCCTCCCTGCCTCCACATCCTTTTTTTGAGACAGGTCTCACTCTGCAGCCTATGCTTGAGTGGGGTGGTGCAATTACAGCTCACCACAGCCGCACACACTCCTGGGCTCCAGCAACCCTCCTGCTTCGGCCTGCTGAGTAGCTGGGACCACAGGCATAGACCACCATGCCTATCTAACTTTTGGAATGCACCTTTGGGCAAAGCTTGCCTCCGCCTCAGTTACAGAGTCTAGATTTTTGTAAGGACAGGGTCTCACTCTGTTACCCAGGCTGGTCTCAAACCCCTGGCCTCAAGCAATCTCCCACCTCAGGCTCCCAAAGTATTTGGATTACAGGCATGAGCCACGGTGCTCAGCCTGATACCCCATTTACCCTGATGTGATTATTATGCATCATCTGCCTTTATCAAAGTATCTCACATACCCCATAAATACATTCACCTACTCTGTACTAGAGAAATTAAAAATAAAGAGAAGTTCGATTAAAAATATTTATAGATGAAAGGAACATTTAAATGAAAATGTTATTGTAGTGTCTCTAGTTTTTTCTCTTTAATTTTACTAAGGCAACAAGCTGGTTGGGTTTTTCTTTGAGAATTACAAGAATGAAAAAAACCTCCCATTTCTCTAGCCAAAATATGGTAAAAACAAGAAAAGAGGCCAGATGTGGCAACTCATGTCTGTAATCCCAACACTCTGGGAGCCCACAGTGGGGGAATCAGGAGTTTGAGACCAGCCTGGGCAACATGGTGAGACATCTTTACAAAAAAAAAAAAAAAAGAGAGATAAAAGCAAGAAAACAGCTGGAGGACGGCTACCTGATTAAACCACAATGAGAAAAAGAGACCGTGAACAAGTAACTGGGGCCCTTGGAAAGAAGCCACTAGTTCCTTTATTCCCCAGGAAACGAGGCAAGCTAGGGCTCCTTCGAACTGCGGGCTCCCTCTCCTCACTGGGCTTTAAAAGCACAGACTTAAAAAGACTGTAACTCGAGTCTCAGCCCCTTTTCACCAATGCACTCCTGCGCTGACTGGCACACCCACTAGAGATTCCAACAGCCAGCCGCCTACGCTCAGCAGCTGACTCATCTCATTCACCAAGTTCAAGGTAAAAAGCGTGACTAAGGGGCCAGTGGAATCCCCTCTCTAACTGAGGAGGAGGCAGGCTTTGCCCAGAGGTGCACTCCAGGCAGCCAGGCGAACCTCAGCAAACCTCAGCCTCCTCTTCCCCTTAGAGCCAGAGCAGACTCCCGGCCGGGGAGGGCTGTGCTTTGGCGTCCTGAGCAGATCCCCCAGCACCTGCCTGCCGGTGGCAGCCGTGCAAACCACAGCGCGAGAACAGAAGAAACAGCCGGGGCCCAGGAAAGGCGCGGCTGCCACATGACCGGGACGGTGAGACTTTAACCAGGACACCACCTAGTTCCGAGGAAAGGCAGTGACTCAGGCGTGAGTCTTATCGGAACAGGAACAGAATGGCATCACACGTGGAACACACAGACACAAACAGACTGTCGCCATGACGAGGCTTTAAAAATCAAACAGGCTGGGTGCGGCGGCTCACGCCTGTGACCCCGGCATTCTGGGGGGCCAAGGGGAGAGCATTTTTAAATTTAAAGATGTGAGAGATTCAATAAACAGTGACCGTGCTGCTGCAGTGTGGTTCTCATTCTTTGTTTTTTTGAGACAGAGTCTCGCTCTGGTGCCCAGGCAGAGTGTTGTGGCGTGATCTCGGATCACTGCAACCTCCACCTCCCGAGCTCAAGAGATCCTCCCGCCTTAGCCTCCCGGGCAGCTGGGATTACAGTCATTTGGGATTACAGGCACACGTCACCATACCTGGCTAAGTTTTGTATTTTTTTGTAGACACAGGGTTTGGCCATGTTGGTAAGGCTGGTCTCAAACTCCTGTGCTCAAGTGATCCACCTGTCTTGGCCTCCCAAAGTGCTGGGCTTCACAGGCGTGAGGCCCTGCACCAGGCTGGGAAGACTGACTCTCAGAGTTTAAGATCAGCCTGGGCAATAGAGGGAGATCCCATCTCTACAAAAAATAAAAAATAAATATTCATCCGGTTGGATGCACAGAGCAAACGAGGCTGTGGGGTGACCCCTACACCTGGGGTTGGCAAGGGCACAGCTGGCTGGGGATGGCGATGGGGTTGGGGTCGGCTTCTAAGGTCCCTGGTGGGCCCTGCAGCACAAGACTGAGAAGCAGGAAGAAACCGAGGCAGTCAAATGGCATAGAGGGCCAAGTGTGGGGGAGCAGGGGCCTTGTCCCCAGAGACAGCGGCGGTAAGAGGAGGGTTCAGGACCGAGAGGAGCCTCAGAGAAAGGGTGAGGGGATCACAGAGGGCTTGGACGGGGGCACCTGCAAGGAAGATTAGAGCAGAGAGAACGGAAGACCTCACTGCCGAGGCCCCAAGAGCTTGAGTGGTGGCCTTGGAATAACGACAAAGCATGGATTTGGGACCCTCTCAGAAGACTCGATGACTTGAACACGGGGTGGTGAGTGGGCCCCAGAAACACTTTGTAAGCTCTGGAGAGCACTGCTGGGGGAAACGGACGCCACAGCCGGGGGCCAGCAATAAACCGCTTTCAAAAGTCAGCGGTGCCAACCAGGGCAGCCTGCCGCGTGGCTGACACAAAGAGGGCCGCAATGGGAGCAGCACAGAAGGCTGAAGGCCGGTGCCCCAAATACCACCCCAACACCCTGCCACACAGCCAAACACCCTGACGTCGTTTCTGATGAGTCTGTGACTTCCCTACTTCAGAGGACCGAACAGGAGTGGACTGCAGGACCAGGAGGAGAAAGCTGATGTGCAGAGGCAGAAACACGGGGAGAGAGAGACATAAAAACGGTGAGAGAATGCCACACAGCCAAACAAACCTTCCGAGGCAGGCGGATCATGAGGTCAAGAGATCAAGACCAGCCTGGCCAACATGGGATACTCTGTCTCTACTAAAAATATAAAAATTAGCCGGGCATGGGGGCAGGTACCTATAGTCCCAGCTACTCGGGAGGCTGAGGCAGGAGAATCACTTGAACCCTGGAGGCTGAGGTTGCGGTGAGCGGAGATCTCGCCACCGCATTCCAGTCTGGGCAACAAAGTGAGACTGTGTCTCACAAAAAAAAAAACCTCTGGGAAAACCAGTGTGACCCAGTTTCTGTCTGAGCTTCAACTCTGACCTCCCACTGGCTGAAAACAGTAACAATGATTTCTGTGTACCCCACATCACAGTCGCACACTCCAAAGTCATTCCAGAGTCTAGAGGAGGAACAAGGGTCTAGACGTCAGCATCTGTCCATTCAAGGCCTGATTCAGGGGAGGGGTGAAGTATTAATGATGGGCAGGTATTCCATAAACACTAAGAACCCACCATGCTCTGGCCTGTCCCCGGCACGTCCCCGGCACGCAGATATACACACCATACTCAGCTGTTTCTAGAGACCTTCATAGCAGTGAATTCTCAACTCCCAGCAGAATATCAGAAGAAATTCAGAAAACCATAGACTAAAATGAGGCAGCTCACCCAATCTTACGCAACTTTCTTAAGTGTGTCTTGCCGTGCTTGTTTGGCTTACTTCCATGCTGACACTGCATAATATTCCACTAACCTAAGTAAAAACTTAAAATACATTAGGAAGACACGGATGATGACACATTTTTCTGACATTTTTGGATACACTTAAAATATATCAATGTTCCAGGATTTTTTTTTATACTTACAACTGGATATTCTACTAAGTATTTAAACGCAGCACGTTTGGTGTCATTCATATATTCCTTTAAACACATAAAATACCTGCACAAAATTACAGCTGTAACGGCCGACATAGCTACAGTTCAAAAGGCAAAGCCATTAAATGACACCCCGAAAGAGCCCACTTTCCAAGATTCCTGACTGAGGCAGGCAGTAAGGCATGGGTTAACCAGTGTCCATGGGAATCAGGCGCCTACGAACAACCCTTGCTGTTCCCTGGAGCACTTACCTCCTCGAGAAGCCGAGTGACAGCGTCTATGTCATTATATGTCCTAGTCATCTGTCCAACTCTTTCAGCACACAAAACTGTAAGAAATGAAAACGACAGTGAGACTCCCGATGTCACAAACCTGCCAAACAAATACCTCACGTGAAAAAGAGCCCCTCGCGTCGCTGCGCGTCAGGCATGGAGGGGCACCGGCTCTGGTATGTGGAACCCGCTCGGTAAGCACAGCACCAGACCCCATTCCCAGCTCCAGTGACTGCAGATGAGTCTGCGGGAAGGGGGACGTGTAGTCCCTGAGAAACCCTCACATGTTCTGTCTGTGTGTGCGAGCAGGTGCTGCGGGTGAGGCGATGCAGGGGAAGGGGGTCTGGCCTCACAGATACTCAGCAAACTGGACTCGGGGGCGGGGCCCAGCACAGCCACCCATGTGTGAATGAGCAGAACGACCTGGACTCCGCTGACCACACAGACCCAACCGCAGGAACAGAGCGGGATCCTTCGGAAAGCAGCTGTTGGCATAATTATTCAACAATAGTCTTAAACTGATCATTTCATAATGGCGCAGCCCCTCCTCCCCAAGTGGCCTACATTCTAAGGTGATGCAACCAGCTCCATACCATGAAAACTAGCCTGTTATTTTTCAAATATACATTAAAAAGACTGCTACGATTGCCACCACCCCCCCCCCGCCCCCCACACACACATGCACATGCACTGAGAGTGCTATTTCATCACAGGCACAATTCACTGTGGTCTTAAGAGTCTGCACACAAGCACTTTCGGACGACGCATCTTTGTTCGCCTTCCGTTGAAGAAACGGGCTGTGAAACAAAAGAAGGCTTTTGTCTGCTAAAGATACATCAGGGTTGTTTTATTTTAAATCAATGACGAGGAATTGATTTGCAGTTCCGCAAACACCAAGAAGGTAGCATAAGTTTTATTCTATGAGGGGAGGAGTGAATACGGATGGATTTACGGCCAGTGTGCAAACATTTCTGAAACCTGCCACTTTGGGATGAAATAAGTAACTTCTCGGTAATGCTCTGTAACTAAGACTCTAGTGAATAATTCTGTTAAGAGTCAAAGCTTTCCTAATGACCCACATTCAGTAACAGCCCATGCGACGCATTTGGGAATTGAAGCGTATTACTAAGTCAAACTCAGCAGCGTTACAAATGGCAAACAGCAACTGGAATTCGATAGGTCTCTGAATATTTTATTAAATGCAAGTAGAGATCATCCTAGTAAATTAGCTCAGAGAAATCGGATCTGCTGGAGTGATTCTCTAGCTTAGGGAGGAGACCTGAAATCTGGTTCTAAATCTGAAACCCTACCAAGACAGTGCCACCGGAGCCAGCAGACAGGACCCCTCCACCCAGCACTTTCGTGAGATCCCTCTTGTCCAAGGGGAGAAATATGCTGCCTCAGACAGAGCTGCCAGGTGGGGAGCAGCAGGGGAGATTTCTAAGAGTAGCTTTAAACCAGGATCTAACTTGATGTAGACGAAGTCCAGCTCAGATTGCTCTAGAGAGTCCATCAGCTCGAGGCCACACAAGTGCACTGTGAAGACTCCTATGCCATAGCTGCGATGGACTGCAAGACACACAGCCAGCACCCAATGCCCCTGCAGCACCTTGTATACACCAGGCAACAGCCTGCAGCAGTTTGGTGGCCTCCGCGTCTACATTCATGTTGTCACTTGATGACCTGCTAATCACCCCCCTCACCGGCCCCCACTCTCCTCAAAGAACTGAGCCCTCCACTTTCCTGGGAAAAAAGGAAACTAGGCTACATTTTTAACGAACCCGGCTCTATTCTCTGTATGACAAGATTCAGAGCTGCTGTTTCTCTAACCCTATATCATTTAGAGATAACACTCTAAGGCTAAGTTTTTGAATTGAGGTAACTGTAATTATTCATATGTAGATAACCACAAGCAGGGGGGCTGGGCGTGGGAGCTCATGCCTGTCATTCCAGCACTTTGGGAGGCTGAGGCAGGCAGATCACCTGAGGTCAGGAGTTTGAGATCAGCCTAGCCAACATGGCGAAACCCCGTCTCCACTAAAATATATATATATATATATAAATTAACCAAGTGTGGTGGCACATACCTGTAGTCCCAGCTACTCGGGAAGCTGAGGCAGGAGAATCACTTAAACCCAGGGGCAGAAGCTGTGCCACTGAACTGCAGCCTGGGCAGTGGAGCGAGACTCCATCTCAAAAAAAAAAAAAAAAAAAAAAAAAGGAGGAAGGGATCCTGTATACCCTTTATCCAGTTCCCCCCAATGGTAACATTCTGCAAGGCCATAATATCCCCAGCGGGCTATCAGCACGGATGCAGCCCGTAACTTCTCCTCACAGTCCCCATTCCACTCACACTCATTTCTGTGCATGTGTGTGTACGGGGCTCTACGTAATGTTACTGTGTTGGTTCACACATCTACCACTTACAAGGATCCCATGTGTTGCTCTTTTATAAAGCTTTAAAATATTTTTAAAATTGAACCCAGTAAAATGCATACCTGTCTCTACTAAAAACACGAAAGTTAGCCAGCCATGGCGACAGAAGCCTGTCATCCTAGCTCAGGAGGCTGAGGCAGAAGAACTGCCTGGACCCGGGAGGTAGAGGCTGCAGTGAGCGGACCTTTACTAAGTACAGTAACTATGGCCAGGTACCATTCATAGCCCTCTACACAGATTATTTCATGGAATCTTCACAGCAATACTATGAGGGGTAAGCGCTTACACTAACACCATTTTACAACAGAAAACTAAGGCCCAGAGTGGCTGAATAACTTGCCCAATGTCACCCAGCTAGCAGGGGGCAAATTTCAAAATAACAAACTTTCGGTCAAGGTAGCAGTGAACATTGACGGTTCCCCTATTATGTCAAGGGACTTAACATGCTTTCTCGATTAATCTTCACAGCAACCCTGCAGGGTGGGCACTGCTGCAATGACTTCTTCACAGACAGGAACACCGAGGCTCTGAGACATTAAGAATCTGGATACTGAGGACCCAACGGAGGTCACAGAGAATGAGGCTGCATTGCAGGGACCGCTCCTGGGCCAGCCTGCTCCGGGACTAAAATGGAGGACCCTAAAGGACACAAGAACAAGGCGCAAAGCATGGATGTGCAGGAAGTGTGTGAACAGAGCGGGCAGCGTTTGGGGCTAGGGGGAAGAACCCTGAGCTTGGGCTCAGAGGCTTAGGTTTTCACAGGAGACTCTGTCCCAGTCACGGGGCTCTGAGCAGCCGTCAATTAACTTCTGTGTTTTGGAATTCCTCTTCCAAGAAATAAGGAAGCAGGCGTGAGACCAGTGAGGGTGGGAAATAACGCACCACGCCTCAGACAGCATGACAGCTGCAGGTCGTGCTTTTCAGGTACCAACTTCCTAGACACTAAATCTACAATACACCGTGGTCAATTTCTCTCTTTACAAGAATGTATTTCAAGGAGAAGTTCCATTTCTGACCCAAAGGGTGCTACCAAATAAATCCACTTCCAACCAAAAGATGTGGCAAGAAGGAAAGAAGGAAGGAAGGAAGGAGGGAGGGAAGGAAGGAAAGTAAAGGAGCCACCATAAACCTCTATGATTTTATTTTTCTTTAAACAGAGTCTCACTCTGTTGCCCAGGCTGGAGTGCAGTGGCACAAACGCAGCTCACTGCAACCTCCGCCCCCCGGGTTTAAGTGATTCTCCTGTCCCAGCCTCCTGAGTAGCTGGGATCACAGGTGCCCACCACCACACCCAGTTAATTTTTGTATTTTTAGTAGAGACAAGGTTTCACCAGGTTGGCCAGGCTGGTCTCGAACTCCTGACCTCAGGTGATCCACCCGCCTCGGCCTCCCAAAGTTCTGGGATTACAGGTGTGAGCTGCTGCGCCCGGCCTCTACAATGATTTAATATCGGAAAATTATGATCCATCTCCTAGAAGAAGTTCGATGCAGCTTGCTGCCATCACAGGAAAGTACACACGCCTCACCTCGGGCACCATCACGCTCACACCAAACAACCATTACCAGGCACCAGGCTCTGCACTGAACAAGGCAGGGCCCCTGCCCTCCTGGGGCACACGGAAAACAGGGCAGCCTGGGGCATGGGGCTCAGGGGGTTCGAAGCCTGACAAGTCCCTTTAAGGACTGTGGACTTACATGGAAAACCACCAGAGAGTTTTTGAAGTGGGGGGCATGCAATGAGATTTCTATTTCCAAAGACATTTTGGCTCCAATATGCAGCCATAGGGGAGGGGCAGGGCAGGGCAGACTGACGAGCAGCAAGGCTGGGGGATCAATCCAAGAAAATAAGGAAATCGTAGCTGGCAAGAAGTGGGCTCTCGCCTTGAAACGTAAGAGATAAAACTGAGTGGGAAATAAATAAAAAAGCAGTGGATTGGGGCTTCTCTCTGGGACAGTAAGGACAGGAGCGACATCTCCTTTGGAAATGGGCAGGAGATGGAAAATCAGAGGCAGGATGAGGCGGCCCCAAGAAACCGCTGGCCCCGGGACAGTAGCTGATGACCCTCTGCAGTCACATACCAGACAGAGGGCAAGATGCCCGCCTGACAGAGACACCCTCCTAGAGCCGGAGGAGGGAGATTTTTGGTTTGGGAGAATCCACTCTGAGATAAGAGGAGAATCAAGTCCTTCTTGGCATGGCAGGTAAAGTAAGGAATTATGAAGCCAAACTGGAAGAGGAGCCCTGAGCAGGCTGAGCAGAGGGAGGAGACCAGCATGGCTGTCACAGCCAGTGGGGACAGGGGGATGGGGGTGGTGAGCTCCATGGACTGCCGTAGTCTGAAAACCAGTAAAGCAACTTTTATGCAGAACTAAACCATGCTCAAAATGATTGTAAGAATAAATGTTGGCAGCCATCTTCCAGCATCCAGGAGACAGCAGCCAAAACCCAAACATCTACAGCGCACAGGCCCAGAGCAGAACAGAACCATGTCCCTGCCTGATGCCAAGGACATCTGGCCAGTGGGAAGCTCAGGAGTGACTGGAATTGAAGACCCCAAGGAAAACCCCATGGGAAGAAGACAAAGGCAGTGTGGCACTGGGGTTTCTATCTTGACACTGT